CCCCCCCCCCCAAAAAAAAAACGAACGAACGCAGGTCCCGTAGCACGCCTGCAGCAAAAGCTGCTCCAAAGCAGCACCGTCCTGCACAAACGTTTGCAGGCTGTTCAGAGGAATCCCCTAAGGCCTCAAGGGAACATAGGGTAGTACATGATAGGGTATAGCAAAATATCATAGAATATCGAATATGAAGAGTATGGAATATGAAAATACACCGTATCATAGTCAAACGTGGTAGAGTATGAGATACGAAAATTACAGTACGGAACATACATGCAACGGGTGCATGCAAAATCAGTCTCTCCGTGAGCGACGCAGTTCAAACCATAAAGTTAGATAGTCCAGAAACGACTACACGGGAGACTATAGGCAAAATCCTACAGCCCTAATACCCTAAAACCAAAAGAAAACAAAACCCGGAACCCCCTAAACCCGAAACCCTGAAGGCCCTAAAGCCAAAAGAAGCTAACGCTCGGAACCCTAAAGCCTCCAACCCATCAGGCTCCCTAAAAGAACCCTTCGCGGACCCCTTCAAGTGAACCCTTAAAGGAAACCTCTAAGACGGTTTAGGGTTTAGGGTTTAGTCTTCAATTCTCGAGTCTGCCTTCTGGCGCTCCAAAGCCTTCACCACGCCTTCAGGGAGTCGGGTTGAAGGCATTTTTCCCTTCTACTTAGCAAGCACAAGGCCGCCTTAGGGCTTTAGCTTTTTATTCTGGATTTAGGTTTTAGGGGCTTTGGGGTTGTCGTTTAGGGTTTTGGCGCCTTTAGGACTCAAGCTGCTCCAGGGTATATCATAAGATTGACTCGCCCTTCTGTACACCAACTTGATTGGTGCTCGAAAGGCCAGATTTCCTTTAGCCCTAAACCCGGGGAAGGGCTTTCCTTCTATTTCGGGATGCCAGGCCGTCCTCTTGTGGTTCCTGCTGTGTTGCTCTGGTGCGGATTCGATGAAGCAACCTTAATCCTAAACTCCTCAAGCCCTCCGAACCCTAGACCCTACTTAAAGGATCATGGGACTTAGTAATTAGGGTTATAACTAAGGTAACTATACTTATAACCCCAATTAGGTTGGAATCCGTGGGTTCCAGAAGCTCGGGACAATTGCTTCCAAACGCATCTTGTAGCCTTCCACTTCGACCGGGGATTGCTGTACTGCAGCTTCTCAAACCTGCTCCCGTACATTTTGGTACCAGTAGAATAGTCAAGAAAGCGACCCTTGGGAGTTGTTCATTCTGGATCCCATTTTACCGAACCAAAACATTGCTGGGTTGGGGATGTGGGTCCCTAAGTAAACCCATTTTTGCTCCCTAAACCCAAAAGCCTATGTAAGCCCTAAACCCTAAACCCCAACTAAATCCTAAACGCTAAACCCTAAGTAAACCCCCAACCCCTAAATTCCAAGTAAACCCGAAACGCAAAGCTTAACGGACAGTTTCGGATCTCAGGTCTGGGCTGTGTTTGACGCTAAGAGCCAGTACACATGTGTATGAACACACACACACACAGAGGCACGCAGACAACTGTGTATATGGACATATATTACATGAATACTTGAGTACATACATACGCACATACATACATACATACATACATACATACATACAGACAGACAGACATGCATGCATAAACGCCCCATGTCATCTGGTAGCTATACATATACTTATGCGTGTGTGCATGTGTATGCGTATCTATGTATGTATGTATGTATGTATGTATGTATGTATGTATGTATGTATGTATCTATGTATGTATGTATGTATGTATGTATGTATGTATGTATGTATGTATGTATGTATGTATATACACGTACATGCATACTATCCATGCTTAGAAACAGTACAATATACGATTATAGACAGTATAATATTCGAGTAAGCATGTATGTATATATATATATACTCACATGTAACATACGTACATAGACTATGACATAGACTTATATATGTATGTGTATATATATATATATGTATGCTATTCTGTGTGTGTCTAGTCGACATAACCCCTTAATTCAAAGGCATTCGGTTCTCGGGGCCTAACGACACTAACCCACTGTGTGACAGGAGATCTGGCGACCATGAGCTGAACCTGTCTCCTTGCACAGCCCTGCCTGCAGCAGCCATGGCTGCTTCCTGCCTTGCGCACGCTGCACCCTAACCTAGAGTGCAGAACAAGCTCGCCCCAATCTCAACACCTCAATCCTCTATTTCGGCAGGTTTGAGAGCTACGCAAATCTTGCAAGAACAAGTCCCATGCAAGGCTTAACCCCACAAGCAAAGCCCTCAATCCACAAACGCCGGGTCTTAAACAATGCCCAGGCAAACCTCGGGCCCAGACGTAGCGTCAAAGATCGAATATAGGGACCTCTGCGGTATGGCAGCTTCGCCATATTAAGAGGCCTGCAAGAAATACTCTTCTGCCCCCGACTACATATGCCCATATGGCCAACCTAGCCTGCCATGAAGATATAAACATCCAGTCACACAAATACAACAATAAAATCCCGAACTCGACACCGTCAACCCGACACCCGGCATAAGAAACCATGTAAACGATGGATTTAGCAACGCCCCCAGCAGGCTAGTCCATATTTCAATAAGTTGAGGAATTCTGGAGTTTCTGTGGGAATTGGAACAGAACCAGAAACCCAAACTCCAAACCGTCACAGGCGCAAATGCGTCTCCGCGCACGCCGAAGCATCCGAACGACGAGACTCGTGCAAATCTGCCAGCAGCCTCGTCTCTTGGAGTGCTTGGGGTTTTGGGTTTAGGTTTAATCTCATACCTACTGATACCGACAGCCCAAAACCCTTAGAACCCTAAATTCAAATCGCCCAAATCCCCCACAACAAAGCCAAAGCCCAATGCCCTAACAATCTAGGCCTAAACCAAAGCCACTACAGCCCCTACATAACCTCACGAACTCCCTTTCTCCCAAGTAAATTTCCTGAACCTTGAAAGCAAACACAACCCAAAAATCCGTCTTGCCCTGGGGCCTGACATCCTAAATTGAATTAAACTACAGGTGGGAGTTTAAGGTACATAGGGCTTCTATAAGGCTTCTGTAAGGTCTATAATGTCTATAGACCTTCTATAATGGCTCCCAGAACGGGAACTACCCATCTGAAAATGTCGTAGACTAAACCCCGCTGAATCCATGTTTGATGGGACTCCTTGACTCCTGTTTCAACCCCTTTTTGCAACAGGCTTTCCACTTCGCCCGGAGTTTCAACCCCTAAACCCTCAACTTGAGCTCAAAACCCCAAATTAATAGAAGGGGCCTTACACAGTGGGTTCTGGGGTATAGTATAACCTCCTCATAAAGAACTCAGAACCCTAAGAAGCGATCCGGCTGACTATTCAAGCTCCCATTCTTCGCACGTGTAGGTACCCTTATAGTAACCCTTGTAGAACCCCTAAACCCTATAAACCCTAAACCCTGAAAAACCCTAACTCTTTAAAGGTACCCTCTCCTTGCCCAGGAACTGGTCGAGAGCTGCTGCAGTTGCTTTGGCGGCAGCCGGTGGGGTCGTGCGGAGAGGCCTTGGGTGGGCCTCGGCCTGGACCGTAGAGCTTGCTGTGTTTTTGCGCAGGGGCGGTTATAAGTTCAGAAGGTAGGGTTTAGAGGGCTTCGAATTCAGAGTTCGTGGGTTTTCTGCTGTCGGGTTTGGGCTTACGGTTTCGGTTTTAGCGTTTTACCCGATAGACATCCTAAACCGCCAAAACTCCGCCTTGCATGCACTGCTTTTCTCGGCGGACAACCCAAACCCCTTCCAGTCGGGCATTTTCTTTGAATCATGGTCCAATGCCTGCTGCAACTCTGTGTTTGAAGGGTACTAGGGGATTTCAACACGTCCACAGCACCGAAAACAGGCCGAGCAGCGCAGCACCATGCAGCAAGCTTTGCCAACCAGGATGCCATCGCTGGGAGGGAGTCACATACCCTCCACCCCTTCACTATACGGGCCCTAGGCCCTGAACGCTGGCAGGGTTCAGGATACCAAGCCGCTTCAGAAATGGTTTGGACCATCTTTGGTAGAGCGCTTGAAACATGCTCGAAACCCTAAAGCCCCGAACCATGAACCCCAATCCCTACACTCCGAATTAGTAGGTTCAAGCCTTGCAACTAATAACATAAGTTTTTTTAAGGCTCTGGACTCAGCTGTAATTATGTAGAGCTACATTTTTGGAGCTTGAGTTTTAGGGTCTTCAGGTTTGGGGGTTATTTTTTTGGAACTGACGGTATTTCATTAGGATGTCAGGATTAGGGCTTAGGGTTTCTTGATTAGGGCTTCGGCGCTCACACTCGGACATGCCCGGCGAGGTTTAGGGATTAAGGATTGGACGCTCATGTTCGGACAAAGCCAGGCACGGTCTGCAGACAAGTCAGCGCAAGGGATCAAGGATTAGGCTGTAGTTAGGGTTTAGGGTTTAGAGTTTAGGGTCGAGAAGAGGAGTTGAACTGGTTGTCGGGTTGATGGTAGTGGGTTCAAGGCTTCGGGGCAGGCGGGCCCAGAATCCTAGTATCTGCCCCAGAACGCCCAAAATACTTGAACACGGGGCGCAGCCCCTCGTCCTACTAGGTTCTTCACATGTTGGGCCGTTGTTTCCATCAGCATATCAACTCGAAAGGGCCGACTCCCGTACAAAAATCTACCTCTTGGACCCCTAAGCCGTCAAGCCCAACCCTCAACCCTAAACCCCAAGTCCTGGAATCAACTGGAATCTGGTTCCGAAGCCCCTGAGCCAAGCACTGGAAGGTCCAATGGCTAAGGTTTAGGATTTAGGGTTTCGTCCCTTGTTGAGCGGAACATGGGTGGTTCTCTGCTTTACCAAAACAACTCAGGATAATAAGGGGTCACTCCCACAACAAGGGACCCCTTAAACAAGGCCTCCTTTTAGAGAACCCCCCCTTCCCCCGCATGCCAAAGCCCCTGCCTGCGAGACCCGTCGAAGGTAGTCATACACGACCTGAGCTTTCTTGGAGCTTTGAGGTTTCACTGTTATCTACAAGGGGTTAGGGGCTTGGATTTAGGGGTTTGGGGATTAGTTTGGGTTGTCCTCGCCTCCGGCGTCTTTCAATTGTGCTGTGTGGTTTAGAGCCCTACAGAACCCAGTTGCCTCTACGGTGGGTTACTGTTTCTGGACCCTGGGAGTGTGGGCCACGGACAGTACATGCACTTCTCTGGCCGTGACACGCGGGACCAGCAAGCAGTCTTCTCTCTTACAGCCAAGACCGGTAGAGGCCTTTTCCGTGGAAGAAGTGTATTTAGGCTTCAGGGCTTCAGGCTCAGGGTCCGACGCGTTCCTGGGCTGACGACAAAGTGCCGTGAGATTTCGGACACCCCTTTTTCCGACTGCGAGAGTAGGGCTTCTAGGGCTTACAGGGGGCAATCGCAAGATTTTTCATAGCAAAGACCTTTAAACTAAATCCAGGCCCCAGAAGTTGTGCGGGCTGCGTCTAGGGTTGGCTGGGCTGTAATGCAGGAACTTCGGAGCTCTGGGCACTCCACTAAGTCCGAAAAAGCCAGGAGAACGCACCGCGCGATTTTTCTGAGGCCACTACGTTGCACATTGGCAACTGCCAGACGTCAAAGGCAAGGGATGGGTGTGGGTTTGTGGTTCGGATCGGGAGCTTCAGGTGTTGGCATCTTCCTGCGGCTGAAAGCTCAGGCTGTAATTCCCAGATCTATTCAATCTCCAAACCCGCAACCCTATTTTGAGTTTAAGTTGTTAAGCCATAACTAGTATAGCTTAGTATTGCTGAATAGTATAGCTGTAGAGCACCTCTAACTCTAGACAGTAAGGCTGCGGAACCTTTTTTCGGCGCTCGGAGATTGGATCCGAAGGGGTTCAGAGTTTCAGGACGGGCATCTTTGGGGATCTTTTTCTGGCTCTAGGACCGGGGGCTTCAGGGCATAGACGGCTCTCTCTAGGGTCCAGGGTACACGGCGCTAGCAGGTAGCAGTGCCACAAACATGTCTCACTGCATCGCATAGCCGCTGGCTTGTCTGTATGATGTCCTGGTCGTGGACTTCAGTTCCGGGTTTAGGCTTTGAGGGTTTAGGGTTTATAGCGTTTAGGGCTTATAGGGTTTAGGGTTTCAGGCCGGGTGTGGATCGTCGCAATGCCGCATGCAGCCGGATCCCTGGATCCGTGAATTCGGATACGGGTTTAGGGTTTAGGGTTCGGAGATCTTTCAAAGGGTTCTGTGTGTCAGGTGAGCTACAGAGGATGTGCTCAAGCAAATCGGTGTTCGAGGCATGGTGTCTCTTCAGGGGCATGTTTGTGGGGGGGTCTTGTGGCCCCTTTTAGGCCTTTGTGCCAAGCCTTGATTGATAGGAAGCACAAATAAGAATCCCTAGTGGAGTTCATAGAGCTCAAGCCGGTCATCTCCCGGGTTCTAGGCCCCTACACCGAATTGATCAAGGAGATTTCAGGATTTCGGCTCTACAGTGCTTTAGAGTAAGTTAGGGTTTAGGGTTTGGGGTTCATGAAATGAGGGAATCGGGCTGAGGGCCTCTATCTAGGGCTCATGAGATCAGGGTTTAGGGTTTAGGGTTTAGGGTCTGCGTCCTCGGCATAGCGTTTGGAGCAGGGGCCGTACAGCTCGGGTGTAGGACCAGTGTCGCAGAACTCCATGAGGTAGAAGCTCAGGCTGTTCACCTTGGGTTTAAGGCTGACGCTCTCACAACTCGGAGATGCCGGGCGAGGTTCCATAGTCTCAGGTCGGCGCGATACGGATAGATGGTTCGCTCGCCAAGGTTGAGAAGGCTTTGGGTTTAGGTGCTTCTTTGTGCTTGCTCCGGAAGTAGAAAATTTCATCTGCTTCATGCGTCTAGCAGGGGCAACCATGTGGATCAATGCTTGTCTTTCGGCTGTGGCGAATATGGGGGCACGTGATTACTGCAACTCCACTATAGATGCACAACACTTCTTAACACGACCGGCCCAGTCCGCTAGTCAATAGACTCAGCCGAATCTAATTCTTACCCGGACCCTGCTTGAGGAAGCAGATCATAGACATACTATGTTATTATATTCTAAGCAGCATGCCTCCGGATTTGCCAACCCGAAGGAAACCCCCAAACCCCAAGCCAACCCTAACTCCAAACCCCAGAAGACCTTACCCCAACGGTTACCTCAATGCAAATCTCGAAATCATCCGAACTGGCAGCCATTGCCGGCGCTGCTGAGCATCAGAGTCCTGATCTATAGGTAACAAGGTTCGTTCAGCTCGCTTGTGCCTGTACAGCTTATATAAGGATCATGTAAACCCTGTCTTTCAACCCAGCCCAGTTTGTTTAAGCCTTGCCAAGGTCATGGACACCAAGTAGAGGTAGCGGGATCACAGAAATAGGTTCGTTTAACTTGGCTGACTTCTGAACCCCTCCTAAAAGTTAAACTTTTAGCCTACCTTCTGTAGATCATATAGAAACCCAAAAAGTTAAAGTCCTAAGAGCCAACCAGAAGAACGCCAAGTTAACTCAACTCCCAGACCAGATGCCTCTTCGTTCTTCAGAGACTTATGGCCGCGAAGTTCTCGACAGGTGGGCTGCCGCACCACGCAGACGAAGTCCGGTGGTCCCGAGACCGTTCGGTTGTGAAAGACATTCCTTTCGTTGATGGTACTCAAGAGGCCTACAAAATAAAAAAGATACGGTTGGTATTAAGTATATCACCCGAGATCTCTGTTACTATAAGGTCGCAGCGAGACGCTTGAATAGCACTGCGAATTACTCAGGCCTCTACCATCCCGCATACGAGCCCATCTACTTACTCTTAAAGTCTTAAAGTACCCATATATCGGAACAGTGCTACAAAGGCTCTCTGTTAATACCTTGTCAAAGCCCTCAGAAACAAACAGACCTTTACCGCGGCCTTGACCGAAACCCTGAACCCTAAACCCTAAACCTCCAAACCTAAACCTTGAACCTTAAAACCCTAAACCCTAAACCCTAAACCCTAAGCCTCGCTTTACCGAGGATCAGGTGTGCCAGGATGGATTCATGCCAAAGTTCGCAACGCCGCTCCTCGGCTCTCCAAGCCAGACGACATTCCACGCACTCACAGAGAGACACACACACCCCAATCCCTAAACCCTAAACCCTAAACCCTAAACCCTAAGCCCTAAGCCCTAAAACCCTAAACCCTAAACCATAAGCCCGGGCTACATGGCTCAATTTTTGCGGCATACTCCGTAACATGCAAACGAACTGAGGAGAGAGCTCCCTCAGGAAGTGCAGGAAAGAGCGGTGCTTGTCTGGAAAGCATTGTCGGACTATGGCCCGAAACCCGTACCAAACACCAATTCCCAGAGACTCCAATACCCCTTAATTAAGGAATATACCTTAAATCATATTAGGGATCCTACTATAATTTAAGGCATATTCCTTAATTAAGGGGTATTGGAGTCCCTGGGTTCTTCAAGCTCCACCCGCAAAATCTCTCTGAGCATCTCCGTAGCGATATTCGTAGCCTCGGCAACGGCCGTCCTTGATGCAAAGGTCCTCGCAGCTTTGCCGCGGCAGATTTGTCTTCACCATGCCTTGCGATGGCACGATCTCCGTGATGTTCCTCCTCGGCTCCAGAGCACGTTTCTGTGGGGTCTCTAGAAGTGACCGTGATTCTCAGCTTTCTCCGAGATTTTTAATGCAGGTGTCTAGGACTGGGAACCAAGGGCAGCTCCCCTAGCCTTGGTAGTGCCGGACAAACTTAAATCTTATGAAGACTAAGCCGTGAACATCAGAAACACCATGCACGCGCTGGAGTTGCTTTACTTGCTTCCCCTTCGTTTACAACACTAGTAGCACGCTTTCAAGAAACTTGGTCATGCACTATTTAGAAACCATTGAAAAAGTTTAGAACTGTAAAAGAAACCTCTTTGGAAAACTTAGAAAGCCATCTAGAGACTCAACCTATAGTCTCCATTGTAGTTCCTTTTCTGGGGGTTGCCTTATAGGATCCTAAATATAAATCTGCGTAAACCAAACAAAGGAACTACAAAACCCTAAACCCTAAACCCTAAACCCTAAACCGTGGCTCTGACAATGGAGATTATAGGTACAGGAACCTCAGAGAGGAGACCTCGACGAAGCGAAAACCGCCGAACCAACTGCCCTGCAACCCTAAGCCCTGATAACCCAAAAACCCTACAAACCTAAACTCTGCGACCCTATAGCCCCATAAACCTATACTTATCAGCCCCAAAATCAAAAACTTTAAACTCTACCCTCAAAACGCTAAACCCCTTTTTTTGAACCCAGGCGCTGATGTCATCAGCAGCGAACCCTAAACCCTAAACCCTCTCGGCCCAAGGGTCAGACTGGAGCGGCATACGGTGCTAAGCCCCAGGCTCCTCGGATCACCCAGGGCTGCTGGTCAATTCCAGCAGCTAGGATTTCTACGGTCTGTGCGCATGCATGTAGAGGATGAAGGTTTCAGGGTTTAGCGTTTAAGGGTATGCGTGCATGTGGATATGTACCGTCGTATGTTTGGTTGGTTCTGTTTTTGCGTGCTTGCTGCTTGTTTGCTTAATTGATTGATTGTCTCTATGTGCATATGCATGTAAGATATACATGTGCGAATGGTCTGTTGCTAGACGGGTCTTAATACTTAGTAAACCCCATGGGATATGTCACAGCCTGGATACGAATCATTATGTAATCTTCCTTGTCATCACTACACTACGACCTTTCCCAGAGGCTCTACAGATTCTGCAGCACTACCCGCGAACTTTGGAGGCTACTGAGGCCTGGGTTCGCCTGAAGAATCAACCCCCCTTACGCCAATCAGAAACCTAAACCTTAAAGGAAACTACAGGTTGGGGAGTTTAGGGTATATTGGGCTTCTATAAGGCCTCCATAAGGTATATAGACCTTCTACAAGGCTCCTATAATGGTAACTACTCACCTGAAAAATGTCCTTAAACACCCTAAACCCAAAACTTAAACCTGAACCCTAAACACCCCCTTTAACCGTTCAGACGACTGAAACTCCAAGAGCCCCGGTTGGAAACAACCGAACACCGGAACTGGGGGAACCCCCGTACTGTTGGGGCAATCTTACTGTTGTGTGCAATATCCACTGTGTAATACTTAGGAAGAGGGTCATGGGGGATATTGTAGCAAGGGAATGTTTTATCAATAAGTCCGAATCCGATGTTCGACTCTAATACCCCAAAGTCTCAGACCCTAAACAACCCAAGTTAAAGTTCCAAAACGGTTCAAGGACCCTAAACCCAAGCTCCCCAACCATTCCGCCAAAGCCTCAGAAACTCGTCGCTGCCCTCTGGTCCAAGTCGGCGGTCGCTTGCCTCTTCTACGGGCTCCAGGATGCGCGGCTCCATCCTGGTCAGTTTGTTGGGGCTTCTGGGAGAGGGTTTAGGGTTCAGGGCTTGTTTGTTGGGGCTTCTGGGAGAGGGGGCATGAGGCAATTCAGGTGAAAACATGAAAATCCCGAACCTGACACCCAGAATCCTACAACCCCAAATCTTCGCCAGAAAGCTGGCAACATGGACTGAGGATGGTAAGCATCAGGGTTGCGCAACGAAGGCCAAGTTTCAGGAAGCTACTTGCTCAGGATACTGATTAGGGGCAGGATTTCAGGTTGGATATGTTGCATCGGAAAAGCACTGTGCATTGCATCTGTTTGATCTCAAGACGACAAACTAAATATTGATCGCTTATATAAGTTTGCTCGGGTTTGACATTTTAAGCGTTGCATGCAGCGCGGCGTCCGTTCTCGGGACGGCTAGTGGCCAGGGCTTAAACTTGGCGCCGGATCTCGTAAGGGGCCGTGCGATTAGACACATGTTTTTGGCAACGCAACACGGTCGTGGCCAAAACTCGAAATGCACATTTGCATTGACGTGCAGCTTTCGCAGGAGTCGAAAAACTCCAGAGGCAGAGGCAAACTTTTCGCCACAATGCACTTTCAGTCGGAAACTGTTCGGATTTTACTGCGTCTTTTTCGTCCTGACAATCGAAAGTCTCAACGGCATTTTGTCTTAAAACATCATGCTCTGGCCACAAGGCAGGCGCGTTTTCCACTGTTTGCATTTGACAAGGAAAAAGGGAACCCTAAACCCTACCGCCCAAACCACAAACCCCCAAAAAACCCTATAGCCTTATAAACCCCAAAGCCTAACCCTAGAACATCCTAAAACCTTATAAGACCCTGAATCCCACACCCTATAACCCTAGAACATCCTAAGACCCTAAGACCCTGAATCCTAGACCCTATAACCCTAGAACATCCTAAAACCCTAAGACCCTGAATCCTAAACCCCAAACCCAAACCCAAGAACATCCTAAAACCCCAAACCCTGAATCCTAGACCTACCCTGCCGCAAAGAGGAGCCCCCACGGCTTCGCCAGACCAAGGGCCAGACCTTCCGGAACTCGATCTCCCCTGCCAGACCTGATAAAGGAAGTAGGGTTTCGGCGTTTAGGGGTTTGGGGTTTAGGGGTTTCGGGGTTTAGGGGTTTGGGGTTTAGGGGTTTAGGGGTTTAGGGGTTATGTAGGGTTTAGGGGTTTAGGGGTTAGGGGTTTACGGGTCTGGGGGTTACAGGTAAATTTGGGTGTAGGGTTTAAGTTTAGGGTCGAGGGTCTAGGGTCTAGGGTTTTCGGGATGTTTCGGGTGTTGGGTTTAGCTAGAGGACGAGGGTTTGGGAGTTGGGGCGTTGGGGCTTTGTTGGCTTCGTCTTTTTAGGGGCAGGGTTTGGGTTTTAGGGTGTAGGGTCTGGGGTTTGAGGGTTGGGCTTTAGGGCTCTAGGGCTTTTCAAGGGTTTGGGGCTTTAGGGCTTAAGGCTTTGGGGTTAATGGGAGTTCAGACCTGGGTTTGCGCTTTAGGGGCTTTGGGGCTCATGGGCTTTAGGGTTGAGGTTGGGAGCTTTTTTGGAGTTTAGGGTTTAGGGTATGCGGAGGGAAGGGGCTTCGAGTTTAGGGTTGGTGGTTCTGAGTTTCGGGTTTAGGGTTTAGGGTTTAGGGCTTAGGGTTTAGGGTTTAGGGTTTAGGGCTTAGGGTTTAGGGTTTAGGGTTTAGGGCTTAGGGTTTAGGGTTTGGGGCCAAGCGGATCTGGTGCGGCTTTGGACGACCGATCGTCTGAACAGGCTTATACGGCTAAACGGCTAGTTCAGTGCTGTGTCTCTGGTAAAAAGGACCTGTTCAAAAAAGGGATCGGGCCTGAGTTTCAAGTTAATCTCGGGGCCTTACGAATTAGAATAGGGTTTGGGTGTTCTCCATTATAATTATACTACCCTAAACCCTAAACCCTTTACCCTGAACCTTAAACACTAAACCCTAAATTCTAAACCCCAAAACCCTATTCTAATGATTAAGATTAAGGCCCCTACGCGCTCAGAAAACCTGCAAACCTGGAGTCGATCAACAGGTGACCCTGAAGGAGCCAAAACAACTCAACGAATTACGGCTTTAGGGTTTAGGGTTTAGGGTACCATGAAGCCCGAACAAACCCCAAACTAGACTCCACAGTCTAAGATCAACTAACCCCGAGCCCTGAACCCCAACCCCCAAAACACGAAACCGGCGGCCCAGGCGCGACAAAGAAGACAAGAGAGCTAAGGACCAAAGCTGCAGAGCTCGCCAAGCCGAAGCGGAACCACGGCCTTGGGGGTTAAGGGTTTAGGATATAGGGTTAAGGGCTCAAGGAGTAGGATTTAGGGTTTAGGGTTTAGGATTTAACGCGAAGGGCTCAGGGAGTAGCATTTGGGGTTTAGGGTTAAGGGCTCAGGGAGTAGGATTTAGGGTTTAGGGTTTAGGATTTAGGGTTAAGGGCTCAGGGAGTAGGATTTAGGGTTTTGGGTTCGGTTCAGGGTTCAGGGAGGGGATCTAAAATATTTAGGATTTGAGGTTTGGGGATGAAGAACTTGAACTGGTTCAGGGTGTAGGTGTATTTCGGGTGCTGCCCCCTCCTCCCCATACAGCAACAGTCTATAATAGGGCTACTATTTTTAAGGGCCTTACATTTCAAGCAACATATTTCTGCAACAAATTCTGTGCAACTGGTACTGAGCGGCGGCAGTATCCAAGGTATCGGATCAGAAGTGGATTCGAGGGCCAGGATTTAGGGTCTGGGGGTTTCGCATTCTAGTTTGTCTTGTGCCGCTGGAAATTCTCGAAGATCCATGTCTATATCTGTTTGAACCCCCAACCCTAAACCCTAAACCCGCAACCCTAAACCCTAAACCCTCCAGGAATTTCAAGGCCAATTGAAGCTTCCCGGCTTAAAGGGTCAAGAGTCCGGAGGTTTAGGGCCGAAAGATTCGGTTCTACGAGCTCCGATTCTCAGACTCTAAGCCCCAATTACACCCCAAACCCTAAACCC